TAACCTCCCAGAACCAAGCCAGCCCAAATGGTGTTCCAAATCCGTGACTGATTATTACATAATCCTACTGAGGAAGAAAAAGGGAAAAAACTTAACATGCCAGAAGACCCCTCCCTCCTATTCTGTTTGTGTCGTCTGAGAAGTAACTTTATTCTTGCACCATTGCTCTGATACGTTTCTCTAAAAGATTGTTGGGGTTTTTTTTTATCCTTTTTTTCTAGGCTGTTCTTGCTGGAGATTTAATTCTTTCTGCAGCATCTATAGCTCTGGCACGAATTGGAAATACAACTGTTATATCTATTTTAACCCAAGTTATTGAAGATCTGGTGCGTGGTAGGTTAATTCTGACTTTTCTTTTTTATTCCATTTTAGTATTTGGCCAGGCCATAAAACCATGTCTCAAATGACCCCTTTCCTTCTTTATAGGTGAATTTCTTCAGCTAGGATCAAAAGAGAATGAGAATGAAAGATTTGCACACTACCTTGAAAAGACTTTCAAGAAGACTGCAAGTCTGATAGCCAACAGTTGTAAAGCAGTATGTACGTTCTGTCTTTTTTCAAGTTAAAAAAAAAAAAAAAAAGCCTCATAGCTCTTTCTAGGGAGGTAATCCTAGAAAAAATTTCACTGGAGAACCTTAAAATAGTAACCCAAATCCCAAGAGGTCATTGAGAAAGGAATTAATCCCAAACAGTGGAGAATTTCTGCTGTGGTTTTCATTTTTGCTATCTTCTTTTGCTATGCAATCATTCACTTTTCATCTTTCCTCCCGAGTTGAATCAAGATAAGCTTTAGTCCCCCAACCTAATATTTAAACTCTGTAACCTATGAAACAATTTATCGTAATTTCTCTCACGATTGTCTCACACATCCTTTCTGACATTTTACCTTTAAAAGGTTATGAAGTGCTGTGTCCTTAAATATAATATTTACTCAGGAGAAACTATCTGACTACAGTATTCGATTATACTAGTGTTCTTTGTCTTTTTTTATTAGTAGATCCTCCCAGTATATTTACATGAACTATAAATAGGCCATATTTGTTTGGGCTGTACATACCTTATTTCTTTGGGAGTACGAACCTTAACTTCTTCTTTCTCTTGTTTTCTCCCTGACCTTCCCTCCACTCTCCACATACGTTTCTTTTTTAGAAAATCGGCATTATTCATAACCTATAGACTAAAATGTGTGATATTCAGAGCCACCTGTAAATAAGAGACAGTTTTCTCCATAGGATTGTTCATCTGACCGCGTTTCAGCCTAACAGATGTAACCGAGATGAAACCTGGGCAAGTAATAGTCCTTTGTAATTAAAGCAACAAGGGAGGAAGACCCATGAGAGGCAAATGCCAATTGCTGTCATGATACACTCTTAACATAATTACAGTTAAGGAGAGCTTTTTCTCAAGGCCTCTCAGGTGAAAAAGTCCCTTGCCAACAGTGTCTATTTTTAAAAGTGTCAAGAAATGTATAATTGTGAGCCAGAAAAGAACGAGGACAACATATTCTTCCTAAAAAAGATTAATTGAAACCCTAAGGAATGTGAATTATGTAGAACGTGCTGGCCACGATTTCAGCTACTTTTGTCTTTATTGAAAGGGCTATAATTTTTTATTTCCAAGAAATTACAAGTTTTTAAGAAAAAGAAACGGGTAAAAATATGATGGACACTGGAGTGCTGACTAAAAGAATGACCTGTTTAAAATGGGTGCCATAAAGCTGTTTCAGTAAATTTCCATGAAGATCAAGATCCAGCTTCATAAGTAAGACGCCCTAGTGTGTTCGGCGAAACTCATTGATGATTTCAGCCCCTTGAGACTACAGTTAGAAGCACTGGCAGGTAGAAGGGCCATTGGAACTAGAGACTCTGTGAGTCTTTGTCCACATAAAGCAGACACCCCACAGGCACAGGGCAGCAACACAGCTGCTGGGGCCTGAACACTCAGTGACAGAACTCTATGAAAGGGCCAAGGAAATGGACTTGAGCCATCAAGGAAAGGCTTCATTGCAGTCATTGTCCTCTGCTTAGGAAGCCAAAGACATTATAGCACGCGTATTTATTTCTAAGGAATACCTTTATTCTTCACAGATTAGCAAATTAAGAGAGGATGTGAATATTAACAGGGCTGGACCCCTATGAAAAAGGAAAGGTGTTATGCTGTCCACTAGGAGGCATGCTGGCATCATCCCAGAGCTACCACCTCCACGGGATTTATTCCTAAACTCCACCGCTGTTAGAATAATAAAGCAAAATCCTAGTGTGAGCTCTCTGAATAAAAGTTTCTATTTTTAAGTGCCTATGGGTAGAACTATTCCAGAGGTGTTATTTATTCAAAATGGCTATTTTTATGTAGTTCTGGTATTTAAGATGCAAAGATATGTAGGCTCCAAAAGAATGCATTAAAGGCAAATTACAGATGCCAAACAGAGGGATTAAGGAGAATTTAAACATGAGAATTATTACAGAAGAACTAATGGAATTCCATGATGTTAGAGAATTTGAAGGAAATTTAGCAGCTTATAAATTCATTCTGCTAAGGACACCATTTCTACCCCTCGCTCCTGTGCCTTTTTAACACCTCACTGTATTTTAGTGGAAATAGTATTAAAATCTAAGAGAGGGCTGTCTAGGATTGTTTTGTGACACTGATTGATATTAAAATAGAAATAATCTTATAAGATGATTGACTATATACATAGTCATGCAGAATAAATTCTGTAGCTTACCAGTGAAGGCCACAGCTTATTCCCCAGAAAATCTAATGGGAATGAGACTTAAAATGTCCAGTGGCCCATCCAATGTTTTCAGTCTGACAGTGGCTGAGCTGGGATTTGAACCCAGAGCTGGGTATGGTAATGCTGCATTCATTTTTTTTTTTTTCTGAATTTATATTCTCTCCAGTGCTATCTGTGACCTATCTTCCTATTACTTTGTTTTTCAAAGATACAGAGTGCCACCGCAGAATTTTGTTTTGTGGGTCATATTTGCAGAACACTATATTTTTCGGTTATGATAATCTACAGATGGAGCTCATTCATATTTTGCTTAGTTGTCCTAATACTGTTATAACAAAGGGAGACGATTTTTTTCAGGTCCAAGAGCCAAGCCATGACCTCATGTTACATTTACTTGTCATGACTCTTTAGTCTCTTTCATTCTGGAACAGTTCCTGTATCCTCTTACTGCTGCTGGTCGCTGGTCACCTGATTAGGGTGGTGTCTGCCAGCTTTCTGCACTTTCAAGTTACTATTTTTCTCTGGGGGAGGCATTTTGAGAGAATGTAAATATTCTGTTTCTCATCAAACCTTCACTCTCTGGTTTTAGCATTGATTCATGATTCTCTCCTGAGGCAGTTATTACTATGCCAGCTGCCAATCAACAGGTTTTTAAATTCCGTCATTCCTTCTACATCACACTTCTACAGTAGAGTTAGTATCCCGTTTTCAGGAAGATGTCGTCTCTACGGACTCCTGGATTCTTATTTTAGTCTGTGGATTATAGCCCATTGTTATTTATTTTAATGCTCGCTTGTTCTGTATCTGACCAATGGGGAAGGCCCGTTAGCCTGGCTCCTGTGTCCTCCCTGGTAAGGTACCCCTACCGTTTTCCTGCACTTCCTTCTCCCAGGCAGGCTCTTCCGGTCTGTCCCAGCGCTGGGACCCACCATTTCTCCAAGGAGCTCTGGTTCCTTTGGGTGGAAAATAGTATTTAGAAACCAAAATCCAGGCGCTTCTGTCACTGTTTCTAGGCCTTCTCAATGGCCAGAGCTAGGAACTGTATGTCTGTGTAATATAATGTGGATATGTGGATATCTGTCTTTTCATAGCCATCCATATTTATTCAAAACCATACTGATTGCTCCAGATCCATCAGACACCACAGGATTCATGATTTATTCCAGCATTCTGCGGTTCCCTATTTGTAACTCCCGTCCCCTACAGTGCGAAACCTGGCCCCCATTTCCCACAACAACATATTTGCTTAATCCTAGAATATACCACAGGAACTTAAAACTTGATAACTCTCATCTCTCAAAAAACAAACCTTGTAGCTAGAGTTCAGTATTTGTTTGCAGTTCCTTTTGTCTAAAGTCTGGGGATAATACAGTCAAATTTCTGTGTTCGGATGTTACCTTTCTCCCTCATTTCAGTGTGGTTGTTATTTGAAATATAGTAAGGTGCTTTTTCATTCCATTTTAGGGTTTCCCTCTCATTCTCGTTGACCTCGTTTTATTTTGGTTTTGAGGTTACTGTTGTTTTGAGTAAAACATTAACATAGCTCCCAAGGTCAGACCTGCACAGAATGGTGAACCGCCCCTCATGCCCTTTACCCTGAAAGTAGCCGCTCTCATTAGCTTATGGTTCCTCCTTCCTTTTTCTTTTTACACAAACTAGTAAGACACACGCATGTTACTTCCCTTTCTTTCTTACAACCAAAAGTAGTGTGCTGTGATACGTCTTGCTCGTCCTGCTTTTGTACCTCGCTTTTAATATAATAGTATGCTATGGACATCAGTCCATGTCGGTCCTTAGAATCTCCCTCATTTTTCAAGCAGCGCCGCCGCCTGCCATGGTTTACTCCCCACTCCCATACGTGGCGTTTAAGGTTTCCGGTCGTTCGCAGTGACAAGTCCCGCCACGGCAGCTAACCATATGTACACGTATGTTTGCGGTGTTAGAGTATAGTTCGAGGTAACTGTAGATGTGGTTGTGTTAGATACGACCGAAGTTCTCCCCCCAGGGGCTGCACCGTTCAGCGTTTCCACCACTCCCATCAGCAGTTCGTGAGCGTGTCTTGCCTCCTTCCCCACAGCCTCACTAGCTGTGTCATAAGACTTAAATTTTTGCCGATCTGATAGATGAGAAATGGTGTTGGCAAAAAGTGAGGTGGAGATTGGACAACAGAAGGAGTAAAGATTCATCAGTGACTCTGGTGATCAGATTTTTCATGAGAGGATTAATAAACTAATAACTTTAAAAAAAAAAAACAAGGGGCTATGCTAAAAATATGGAACGCTTCACGAATTTGCGTGTCATGCTTGCGCAGGGGCCATGCTAATCTCTGTATCGTTCCAGTTTTTAATTTGCATCTCTCGTTTCTGGGTGAAGTTGACCATCTTTTCAGTTGTTTAAAGGCCATTTTTATATCTTTTTGTGATTCTTATTGTCTTATTGTCTGTTCGTGTCTTTTGCCCATTTTCTAGTGGGTGTTTGGTCTTTTTTCCCCCACTCAGTTTTAAAGAGCTCTTTATATATGAAGAATATTAGCTTTTTATCTGCGATGTTATGTTGCATGTATTTTCTCCCAACATTTTCCATTGGTTTTTGACAATAACCTGTTTTGATATTTTTTATGTATTGGAGCTCCAGTAATCTCCACTATTTTTAATAAGACAAATGAACATATATGTATGTATCAGAATATATCTCTTAAAGTGATGGAGACACATACTTGAAAGATAGAGATGCTGGCTAAACATCAGCATCCCCTGCCAGTGCAAACAGCACTTCCCAATCCTTTCAGACAAGGCTTGTGAAAATCTTATGAGAGAGGGGTGGGCCTTCCCCACTAAAGATGCCATGTGCACACCATGGCCTGGCTGTGGACCTGCTTCAAACAGAAGTTAGCTGAGCTCCACTTTCTTTCATTTAGTCATTCTTCGTACTCCACCCACTTCCAGAAAGACATGCGGCATCTTTCCTCTGATGCCAGGAACAAGCAGCGTTCATTTCACGTCGGCACACTTCCTGCCTGGCTTTTGTGTTGCATTGCGTCTGATTTTCTTAGTTGCGATAGGACAGATCCAGACAGTCCTCACTTGGATTGGAGAGTGGGGGTCAGGAGTGGTCTTTGCCCTGCAGTGGGTGAAATCGGAGCAGAAATGACCCTTCAAAGCCGGTGAGGCAGAAGCTACCAGCTAAGTAGCTTGTTCCTGTGTCAGCCTCTGTGAGCTGGAAGCGGGCCATGTGGACCTCACCGCCTTATGCTTACTTGGGCACATTACTTGACCTCTCTGAGCGTCCCATTTTGTTGCCTGTTAGCATCACAGAGTGAGTAAGAGTCGAGTCTCTGGAGCCAGCCCGTTCGGGTTCAAATTCAGATTCCCGCATTTCCTAGCCCCTTCAAACCTGGTACTCTCTGTGCCTCAGGTCCGACCTCCTGTGTGAGTTAGGACCTGACACACAGCGCTCAGTCATTGTTAGCTCTTCTCATCACCAACCACCAAGGAAGTATTTATGGCATGTTATGAAGTTTAACCAAAATAATGCAGAGTGCTCATGTACTCCACACATTTTAATTCATTGAGTTTAGAAACAGAAAGGATTTTTTAAAAATATTTTACTTTTCAGGAAGAAGGTATGCTTTTCTGTGCTACTGTGTGTTGAGGAAACAGCATTAACTCGCTACAGGATTGCTTCGTGGGTTCTTCCTGCCTAGAAAAGGAGAACCATCGTGTTATGAGCTCAGCATACCCCAGGCTGCCCCAATTTTGCCACACTCTCATTCTCTTAGCCACGTTGATGGATGGATGCCTTGACTTCTTTCAAAGTTTCTAAACTGTCTCCCATGTGGTCTATAGAATCTTTAGTTGAAAAGAGGAACCCCTCTCTAAACCCACGGACCAGTGCCTGCTAGTGGTAAGGTCTTTGCTATTAAAAGCAGTTACAAGTTTATGATTCACGCAAGTGAGTGGCCACCTACCCTTTCAGGATGTGTGCATCTTTATCGAGGATGTGTGGCCAAACACCTCTCAGTCACAGATTTCATTAGTCGTCAAAAACATTCTCGGGGCTGAGCAAGTTCTGTGATCTGGTGTTAATTAGCAGAGGTGCGTGGACACACCCCAGGCTCCTGCTTCTGCAGCCAGTGGAGGAGGCGGGGAGGATTATTAAGGATGATAGCAAACACAGTGAGTCATAACCAGACGCCAGGCACTGTCCTGAGGGTTTAAAAGTAGCATCACTTGTATTCCTCACAGCGATCCTATGGTTTAGAGGAGGAAACTGAAGCACAGAAAGATGAAGCGACATGCCGAGGGCACGTGGAAATTGTAAGGGCTGTAAACGCACCACTAGCAGGCTGACCACCGAGCCCACACCCCTGAACCATAACTGAGGCCTGAGCAAAGTGGGGGTCCGAACCAGCAGACCACAGAGGGACTAAAGTCAGGGGACTTCAGTGACCCACTGCAGAAAGGAGACTGAAGAGTTCCATCTGGCTTTCTCACGGAGGGTCAATACAGACGGTCCCTCTCCAGCGGCGATGTCGCTCCCATCCCCCATTTTGGTTTTTACCATCTTTGTTTCCTGAAAATGTGGCCGGGCTGCTTAGCATGCTTAGCAGAGCAGCAGGAAACACACTTAAGCGGCCGGTGCCAGCTAGTTTTTTGGAGTTTTAAAAAAAGACTTAGTTAAAAGTCCTATTTTCTCCCCCACTGAAAAGGAAAAAAAGTTTTATGCAGTTACATTTCTTCTTGTGAGAGAAATACGGAAATGGTACGACCAGTGAAAATCCGTTGATAATGAAAGAACAATATCTATGTCTGAAGTCTTAGGCTTGAGGCTATTTCAGACATCAAGAAACAACTGCATTTCTGAAATAAGTGAAATCAGTAAAACTTATTAAAAGACTACAAATGGGGAAATACATATGGCAACATTGTGTGTATGATTAAATTAGGTCTCTATCCCCAAAATAAGGACTAACTCAATAGAAAACTAACAAACAAAGCCAACAATTGGGATAGTTGCTGAGTGCTGGAAGTCAGCATCGCACAAATTAGAGTGTTTCTTTTGCATGTCAAAAAGGTTACCCAGCATAACTGGCCTAGTGTAACTCCATTTTTCCTAAGCAGTGGGAAAGACGGCTTATCCTGTGAAAGAAGAGAGAAAAGTAATAGTTTTCTTAGATTTTAAGACAACAATCTGAAACCGAAATCCTTCCATTAAAAACGTAAAAATGCAAGTACAGTTGAGCCTTGAACAAAAGTTAGAACTCCGTGGGTCCACTTATACATGGATTTTTTTTTTCAATAAATACTGTATTTTATTAACATTTTTTTCTCTCTAGCTTACTTGTACAAATACAGCATATAATACATATAACAGACAAAATATGTGCCGACTGTTAATGGAAGGCTTCTGGACAATAGTCGGCTATAAGCAGTTAAGTTTTGGGGGAGTAAAAAGTTATATTGCATATTTTTGACTGTGCGGGGGACCGGCGCCCCAACCCCCCGTGTTATTCAAGAGTCTGCGATAGTTGTACATGTTGGTCCCCCGACAGCTGTGTCTCCTAATTGTACATCATCTAGCATCACTGCCTATTAAGGGAACAGACGTCTGCCTCCTTCACGCAGGCAGGGGTGGGCTGCCTTACTGCTTCTGCCTGCCAGCTGCTTATCTCAGAATTCTCTGTTTCAGGTCTCTGTCCTAGGGTGCCCTGACCCGGTGGTGCATGAGATTGCCTATCAATACGGAAAAAATGTGGGAATAGCTTTTCAGGTTGGTCCACTTCTTTATAAGGCCGTGGCCTATTAGGACAGTGGGCAGGGCGGCTGTGATGTTGGGATGGTGGTGCTCATGACATTCCTTTTTCTCTTTCACTAGCTAATAGATGATGTGTTGGATTTCACCTCATGTTCTGACCAGATGGGCAAACCAACGTCTGCCGATCTGAAGCTCGGTTTAGCCACTGGCCCTGTGTTATTTGCTTGTCGACAGGTAGGTTTTTACAAATTCCCTTTGACACGCTGCTGTGTAGCCCTACAGAACCAGTAATGTCCAGGCACAGCTAATGGGAAGGTTTAGATAAGAAGTATTTGGGAAAGCATTTCAGTAAGAAACCTCAGGTCTAGATCTGTGGCTGAAATGTTGGGGACAGTCATTTCACCCCTAAGCTTTATCTGTTTCCTTATCTGTAAAACTGAGATTACAACCTTCCTGCCAGGGTTGTTGTGAGGATTAACTGAGGTAATACTCATGGAGATACTCTGTAAATTAAGTGCTGTGTAATTTAAGGTAGCATCACAATTATTTCCATGTATTTGGAGCACTGACAAGGTAAATGGTTTCCACATCTTGATTATAGGACTGGACTTTGGGTGTGCCTCAGAACCCCTTACAAAGGCACAGGAAGGGCTTCCAAGCGTAAGAAATTCTGAGAAATTCTCCAGTTCTAGAAGTTTAATGGGACTGTTTGCTGCTCTCAGAGAGCCTCGGCCACTGCCTCAAAAAGTCAAGAAGTCAGTGGAATGCACTACTAGAACCACATAGTTCCTTCTTTCTCCAGATTGAGGGGCTGTCAATTAAGGAAGTAAGTAAAGCTGCCTTCATATTCTCCTTTACATGGATGAAAAGCTTAGGGAGCTTCAAAGATGCTGCAGTGACATGCAGGGTGTACATTCTGAGAGCCTGCTCTGGACCCTGGCCACGTTGCTTTTGGCTCTGGGGCCGAATGCTATTGGTAATAAGTGGGACACTGGCTGGTATTTCGACATCTCTTTAATAGATTTCATCTTAGTAGTATTTAATTCATTATTTAGCTAAGCAATAAGATGTTCATCACCATGCCATAAAATTAAAAATTACTCTTTGGTCTGAAGTTTTAGTAACTTGTAGTCTTTCAGATTTTTGCCTCTATTTGTTCTCAAAAATTACAAAGATAAATCATGTCTTCCATAGAACTCAATAATTCCATTCTGATATTATACAAACCAGTGACTTCACTTTTAATCAGTTTCTTATCCAAGAAAAAGAGCTCATCTTTTCCCCACTGTGTAGCAGAGCCATGCCCAGGGCAGTCCTTTTCAGAGGAGGCTCACGGCTTGGGCACTAAGCCAGGTTACTTTGGACAGCAGTCAAGTGAGGAATGAGGGGTGCAAATAGAGATGTGGGAGCACTTTGTGGAAACATCTGTCCTCATTACCAGGCTCTGTCCTCTCAGAATTTTGAGGCAGAGGTGAGAAGTGAAAGGTATGCTATAAATGGGTCATTTCTTCTACTGAGACTAACTCACCAACCCAAAACGCCAGAATATTAATATACGTGCCAACTTCTGACAAAAATTTGTAAGATCTCCTTCCTTGTACACATTAAAGCATGAGTGAGGA